GCCGGTACGGTGCGCCACCGCTAGAGCCACCGCCAGTGGCGCGCCACGTCGATGTGTCGCACTGCAGCACTCCGTCTCTCTCGCATGCTTACGGGGCGCCCCGTGAGTGTGAGAGACAGATAGCACTGTTCTGCAGCAAGCGGCCGGAGGCGCGTTCGACTATTGGGAGAGAGAGAGAGAGAGAGAGAGAGAGAGAGAGAGAGAGAGAGAGAGAGAGAGAGAGAGAGAGCGGCGAAACAATCCTTCGGAATCGCTCGGCGGCCACGACCGCGGCTGCGGGTCCTCGCGCCATTTATACGGGGTCGCTGACACCCTGCCTTTACTTTGTCTCGCGGGTCGGACGTGTGTGCGAGAGCGAGAGAGAGGGGAACGGCGGCGCGGGGCGATGGGCGGGGATGGCGGTACCACCGTCGTTGTCCGAGGCCCCCCTCCCTCCCCTGCTTTCCCCTGCTTTTGGAACCCCAGGGGGGATGGTATGGGAGATGGAGACGTCGGCGTGCTGCGTCGTCTTGGCAGAAGCAGAGAGAGAGAGAGAGATGGACGTCCTGCGTTGCGCCTGATTCGCGCGACGTGCCAGTGCCAGGGCGACGTTTGCCGGCAGAGGAAAGGGGGAGGGGGGGGGGTCTTTTAACTGCTTGATTCGCGTCGAGCAGCCGAGCGATTCAGAAGAGTCGTCTCGTCGCTCTGTCTCTGTCGCACTCGCGGCGCTCTCCATGAGGGTGCGAGAGAGACAGAGCGACGAACCGCTCCTCTGAATCGCTCGGCAGGAAGACAAAAGCTATTCTTGTTCGCAACTTTGGTCGCACGGCGTCGCGGAGTGGCATCGCCCGCTCTTGCTCTTTGCCGTCTACGACTCCTCGCTGTGCCGTGCTGCGCGCTGGTGCGAAGGACCGTCTCTGTCCCTGTCGCACGCGCGGAGCGCCCCGTGGCGGAGCGAGAGAGAAAGCGGATCTTCGGAGGGAGGCCGCTGCTGTCTGCAGCTACAGCTGCGACGCCCTGCCTCCCCCCCCCCTCACCAAGTTTGCGCCGAGGGACGTGGAGGCCGGAGGGTGTGCAGCCCGTCTGGCCCGCCGCGCCGCCGCGCCGCCGCGCCGCCCCTCGCTCTTCCTGCGGGACCTGCGGGACCTGCGGGACCCGACTGCTGGCTGGTTCCGGGCCTCCCGTCGGACCGCCTCGCTGTCTCTCTCGCGCTCCTGCCGGATGCCCCAGGAGTGCGAGAGAGACACGGAGAGAGGGACCTCCCGCTCGGAATCGGTCTGCTGCTCTCCCCGGCCGCATCTCTAACCGAATCAGGCTGCCCTGTCCCTGTCGTCCCTCCCTCCCCCTCCCCATGACAGTATTTGCAGTGCGCCCCCGCACTACGCCTGCAAGCGCACCGCAGTCCCCGCCGACGGGGACACACCCCCCCCCCCTTCCCCTTTCCGAACCCCTCCCTCGCCGGGGCGCCGTACCAGCCGCAGTGAGGTATTTTGCGATAGTGAAGAAGAGAAGGAAGAAGATGCGGCGGTGGGGGTAGAACATAACAAACCCTCATTTGTTTAGGCAGTTCGTCTGCTTGCGGGGCGAGGCGGGGGCGGGTGGGGGGCATCATGGCCGCCAAACAAATGAGGGTTTGTGATGTTCTACCCCCACCGCCGCATCTTCTTCTTTATCTTCTTCACTATCGCAAAATACCTCGTTCAGTCCAGTTTTGTTACCACAAGCTGGCTAAGCCAGTAGGCCTGCGGCTTGCCGGATTTCGAATGAGTGCTCCCCGTGGCTGTGCCTCTCTCTCGCGCCCTCGGGGGATGCGCCCCCAGAGGGAGACGGAGGGGCCGTTCGCACTCGGCCCGGGCGTCGGCTGGGGTTGCAGCCATAGGTTGTGGCGTTGCGGTGCAGAGTGCCGTAACTCCAGCCCTGCCGGCGGCACGGAAGTGGTCGGCACGTGTCTGCCTGATTCCGAAGAGTCACCTCGTCGCTCTGTCTCTCTCGCACCTCCACGAGTAGTACCTCCACGAGTACCACGGGACACGCCAAGAGTGCGACGGAGCAAGTGACCTTTCGGAGTCGGTCTGCTGCATGGTCAGCTCGGAGGCTCAGCTGACGAGACACATTTTGAGGTCGGATTTCCATGAACAGGCCTCAAATAAAACACGCGACGGTGCCAACGGATTGCCCTTGGAAGGAGGAACCCGATGGCCGCATTCGACGCGCGTCCCATTTGGGTACATTAGACCTCGAAATGTGTCTCCTCGAGTGTTATGTCCGCCTGAACTGGCTTTATCCAGACGCGCCGTGCTATCGCGCTCGATTCCAGATCCGTCTCGTCGGAGTGGCTCCGGACTGCGGACTGATTCCGAAAGTCGTTTTCGTCGCGCTCTCTCTCTCTCGCACTGACGGGCCGTTCCGAATAGTTGCGAGAGAGTGAGGCTGCTGCTCGGGACGGGTGGCGCCTCGCCTGGCCGCCTCGCCTGGCCGCCGCCCCGCCCGCCAGCCCGACTCGCAGCGCAGACGCTCACGTGGAAACACTCTCCTCTAATTCTCGCGTCGTCATCGACTGAGTGCGTCTCGTTTCGAGAAGGGCTGCTCGTTCATAAATTAAACGTAGCGTGGGAGGGGAAAGGGGGAGGGGTCCTCCGGCCCGCGCCCAGCGCCCAGGCCTTCCCGTGGTCCGTCTCGAGGGCTGAGAGCAGGTCCAAACTCGCCGAGCTAGCCCTCTGCCGAGCCGGTCCGTGCCTGCAGTCCGATTCCGAAAAGTGTTTGGTCGTCGTCTCCGGGGCGCCGCGTCGGGGTGCGAGAGAGACAGAGCTACGCGGGCAGTGTTCGGAGTGGAGCCGCTGAGGTGGCCAAGGTGGCCGAGGCCGGGCTGACGCCGTGCTGACGCGTGGACGACGGCGACGTGCTTCTTCGCACTGCTTCGCGCTTCGCGGGGCTCGCTGCACCGAACGGCCGAACGGCCTGGCCTCGTTTCACAACGCGACGCCCCGGAACGCTCCGCCGCAAGCCGGCTCGTTCTCTCTCTCTCTCTCTCTCTCTCTCTCTCTCTCTCTCTCTCTCTCTCTCTCTCTCTCTCTCTCTCTCTCTCTCTCGTACGCCCTGCGGCCTGCGGCACGCCCCGCGGGTGCGAGAGAGACAGAGCGACGACGGCCCTGTCCGGAATGAGTCGGCGGTGCAACGCTTCGCCATGGCTTCGCGGCTTCGCACTGCTTTACCGCCACGGGCCCCGATTTGCTCGGTTACCGCCCGGGTCGGCGTCAACGTCAACGTCCACGCCGCCGTCAGGAACCGCTGACGACCGGCCAATTTTTTTGACCCAGTTTGTCCGTGGCACTCGCTGCGCCACGGAGCGTGTCGTGTCGCCGCCGGCCTACCCAGCGACACTCTGTCGCACCCGTGGAGCCTCCCGCAAGGGTGCGAGAAGGACAGGGCGACGAAGCGCCGTTCGGACGAACTGTCCGCGGAGCGCCGCGATGGAGATGGAGGAACCAGGGAGGAACAATACGGGAGGCGAGGCGAGGCGACGGAGTGTGAAGCACTGTGAAGCGTCTTCCTATCATCGCGGCATGCCCGCTTTGGACAGCCAGACGCGGCTTCCCGGAGCTTCGCGCGGCGGCTGTCGCTGCGCTGTCGTCGCCACGCCGCCGCGCTCCATCCAACCCCTTGACTGAAACGTGAGCCCGGCGGCGGTGGCTGCCACGCAGTGCCGTGCCACGCAGGGCTACGCCCCTGAGGGCTGCCGCGCTGCTACGCCACTGGCCCGCTCTTCCGGCTGGAGGCCGTGGAGCACGTGTGGGGCTTCCAGTGGCGCGGTGGTGAGCGCGGTGGGGGGGGGGGGGGGGGGGGTGAAGTGGCACGGAGGGGGCGCGTATACACTTTTACTAACTCGAACAGGACAATTTATTTCAAGGCAAACCCTGACACAGACAGGCAGCAGGCGGCCCTCAGACGTGCTCTGGCCGGCTCTGCCATGACGGTGCGCTTCGGCCGGAAGCAGCTCACGTGCGGGGGCGGGGCGGGGCGGCGCGGGGCGGGGCGGGTTGCCACCTTCAGCAGTGCCGTCGCAGTGCCGTCGCAGTGCCGTCGCAGTGCGACGTTTGTTTTGCGCGTGTCTCTGCCGCATGCATTACGTGCCGGTAGGAAGCGCAGCGAGCGTGCGTGGCGTGCGCAGCGAAAAGGAAAAGAAAAAGAAAGAAACGAAATTGAGAAAGAAAGAAAAAGAAGAAAAAGCAAAGAGACACGTGATTTGAACCCCGGCCACTCGCTTCGGGTGCTCGTCACGTGTCCGTGTCCCCGCGGGGCCGCGCTCCGCCCTTGCCACGTTATTTACGCCCGGCCCCTCCTCCCCTGCTTGTCCTGCTTGTCCCCCAGGCTCATTCCGAGGCCGTTTCGCCGCTCTTCTCTGTCGCACTCGCGGGGCGGACGCACAGTGGGCCAGAAGACCGGTGGAGGCGGCCAAAACTCTAGACGCGTTTTGAGCTCCAGAGTCGCTAAATGGGACTCGAACCGAACGTGTGACCCCACCAATGGATTCCTCGTTCGGAGAGCAATCCATCGGTGGGGTCACACGTTCGGTTCGAGTCCCATTTAGCGACTCTGCAGCCCAAAACGCGTCTAGAGTTTTGGCCGCCTCCACTGGTCTTCCGGCCCACTGTGGGACGTCGCGATGGGTCGCGAGTGAGACAGGAACAAGCCTGCGGAATCGTCCGTCTGCTTGTCGCCGCTGCGCCCAAATAATCGTCGCCATCTGATTGGGCGCCGCGTGGCCGGGCTGCCGCATGGTCGTCCCCCAAGTGTGTGTGTGCGCGCGTGCGGTGTGCCTGAGTGTATAGACTGTGTGTGTGTGTGTGTGTGTGTGTGTGTGTGTGTGTGCGCGCGTGCGTGTGTGTGTGGACGTCCAGAAACGTCCCTATTTGGACACGTCCAGGAGCGCCGCCTCGTCTCCCTGTAGTAATCTCTGCGTTGCGCGCGTTCCAAAACGACCACGGCTCATGTTGACGTGTGTGTGTGCGTCTGTGTTGCAGGAGAAGAACTCGTTCCAGGGCTACAACGTGTCGTGCATCCTGACGCTGCCGCCGTACCAGCGCCAGGGCTTCGGTCGCCTGCTCATCGACTTCAGTGAGTACATTGCGTATGCCTGCCGAGCGATTCCACCGCCCGCGCGCGCCTAGCTCTGTCTCTCTCGCACTCGTGGCGCGTGCCGTAGGCGTGCGAGAGAGACAGCGAAAATTGCGGGCCGCTCAAGGCCTCAGAGGACGAGAGTGAGGAGAAGGACGCGGATTTTGTCGGCGCGTGCCTGCCGTGACAGTGTCGTCGCGTACCTGTCGTCGTCGTCGGGGACGTCCTGGTGGTGGCGAGGGCCGCGAAACGGCTGCGATTAGCGTTCGCCCAATTTGGCTTGCTTTGATTTTTCCGCGGCGGGGGGCGGGGCGGGGCGGGGCCGGACGGGGCGGGGCGCTGTGCAGGGCGATGACCGCGCCGCGTGTAGCCAGTGTAGCCGCATCGAACGCGCCATCGCCACCGCCGCCATTTTCCCTCCCTCCCTTCGCCGCCTTCGCGGCCGCCCTTCCCGTCCCCGCTGGCCCTCTGGCCCTGCAAGCCCTGCAAGCCCTGCAAGCCCTGCAGCAGCGGTTCTCAACTTTTCCTGACTCGCGACCCACAAATGGCGACTGAAACTAATCGCGACCCCGCACCGCCGAAATCAACTTCTCTCCCAGAAAAAAATGGTCCCGAACAGGTCCCGAACCGAAGAAATGCTCTTGGTCCGGGGAAATGCTGCTTGGCCCCGCGAAATGATGTTGGGCGGTAGAAATGCTCTCTCGACAAAGTGGAAATCCAAAGCGGTTTCCTCGCGCCCCCGGGGTGGCGGTGGGGTCGCTAACGTGTCGCCCCGCGCCGCGCTCGGCGTCAACTCGGCATGATGCCGACGGCCGAGGGCGCTGCCGTCTGCCAGTATGAAATACCGGACCTGGGGCTGCGGGGTGCGGGGTGGCGTTTGCGAGCTGATTATCGAACCCTCGCAGTGTCGCCTCGCCTATTCCCAACGGGGCGCGGCGCGGCGCGGCCCTGGATTGGCCTCCTGGCCCGCGCTGCCGCGCTGCCGCGCTCCGCATGCCTTGATCGGGGAGGTGCTCGCCGCTCCCGACCGACTTGATCATTGTTTGATTCTCGTCGCGTCGCACGCCACCGCGGGCCTGTAGAAGCACGGCCCCCGGCTGCCTCTAGATTTGGGTCGGCTGGCGGCCTGTGTGCTGCCAGCATCGCCCGCATTGCGGCCCCTTCCCCGGGCTGCCGGCCCTGCTGGCTGCGTCATTTCCAGAGCCTTTCCAGGCGGCCGGGCTCAGCCGGGCTGGCTGGTTGGCTGCGCTGCGCAGCCGTGCAGTGTTATTTGCACGTTGGCGGTTGAATGCATTCCGCCGGTCTGCAGTCGGGGGAAAGGGGGGCGGGGAGGGGGGGGGGGGGTCGGAGTGCCGCACTGCGCAAGAAGTGGAGTGTTGCGGCAGGTCGGGACGCCCGGGCCCGGAAGGGGTGGGGCGGTAGCGGGGGCGGCGGGGGCGGGTTTCGAACCCGGGCTGGGAAGGCGTGGCCACCGATTGGCTCCATTGAATGTGGGTGCGTGTGTGCGTGTGTGTGTGTGTGTGTGTGTGTGTGTGTGTGTGTGTGTGTGTGTGTGTGTGTGTGTGTGTGTGTCCGGGCCTGCGTATGTGTCTCGCGGGGGGACGCGTTATAGGGGCAGCGGCTGGGAATGCGCCTGCTGCTTTTGTCCGAGGCGCTGAGGCGTAGAGGCTCGCGCCAAGCAAAGAAGGCAAAGCGACAATACGAGAGAGAATCCCTCCTCTTCCCGCTAGCCTCGCTCCATTCGATTAGTACAGACGAGTGCCGTGAATGCGGGAAGGGGGCGGCTCGCCGTCGGGCACTGACCCCGCATCCAGCCTGGACGACGGCGGCCTGGACGACGGCGGCCTGGACGGCGGGATCGTTGTGGTGCAGCCGGTGCAGCGAAGGGCGCCGCCGTGCCCTCGGCCGTGCCGCCTTGTCGCCACCTGGAGCCTCAGCCCTTTGTGAGCCTTATCGCGGTGTGGCGGCCCTGTTGACACGTCAAGGACGGCGATAAGGACCCCGCCGGGCCCCGCCCCGCCCCGAGACGCCCGGGGACGCCATGCTCCACCGCTGGCAGCAAGGCAGCGCTGGCGGGCCGCACGCCCTCCATCGCCACCTTCCTCAAAAATAGACGCGGCCGCGCTAAATATACGGCGCTAAGCTCGGACCAGGGGCCAGGCGGGCAGGCCCTCCCGGCCCTCCGCATTGTCCGTGAGGCTGCGGGCACCGAGGCGTGGCGGGGCGGGGCGGGGCGGGGCGTGGCGGGGCGGGGCGGGGCGGGGCGTGGCCCGCGTTGGTCCAACTTTGAGGGCCCGGTGCGTGTGTCGTGCCCCTGGATGTGGGTACTGTACTCTCTCCTCGTCCCTCCCCTCTCTCCCTCTCTTCGGAGGCCTCTGTCCAGCCGTTCGTATGCGCGCGCCCGTGTGTGTGCATGGGCTGCGCCTTGGACGTGAACGCGAATGCTGGCGTCCGTCCGGTCCGACTCGGGCTGTCTCTGCGTGCGCCGCGTGCGCCGTGCGCCTGCGCCGGTCCGCGCCGCAGGCCGGCCCGCAGGGTACATTGCCCCCCTCCCCCTGCCCCTGCCCCGGCGGGCCGGGCGGGCCGGGCGGGCCTCGGTCCCCGCCCCATGGCCCGTCGCGGTTCGCTGCGGTGCCGGTCCGGGCCGTGCTCCGCTAGCTCCGCGAGGCCGAGGCGCCGAGGCTCCACCGCCGCGCTGCGCCGCGCTGCCTGCCGTCCTCATCCACCCTTACCGTCTAGCCAAATCGATCGGGCAACTCCTGATTCAACCCTCGGGCCTCGGGGGCTGGGCCGGGCCGGGCCGGGCGCACCCGCCGCGCCAGCAGTCTGCGTTTGGCGGGGCGGGGCGGGGCGGGGAGGGTGGGGCAGGGCAGGGGCTGGAGGCCGGACGACAACCCCGTGCGTTGCCGGCGGAGCGCTGCGCGGCGCGACTGTCTTGGCTGCGGGGCGGGCCGGGTGGCCAGGGCGTGCAGCGGCGTAGGAAAATGGGATAAGGGTGCGAAGAGGAGGCGGGGCGGGGCAGCGTTGCCAGGTCGACATGAATTTCTCATGGCGGGCGGATTTCGGAGCTGCCCTTCCGGGAGTCGCGAGCCTCTGATTCCACCACTCATTCATGCATAGCGGCTTTCATTGATTCATTCATTGGGTGCCGAGCCGTGCCGAGCCGTGCCGAGCCCTGCATGGAGGTAGCTGGCCCTGCGCGGAGCCCCACCCTGCACGCCGCACCATGCGCCCTAGGCCGCCCCGCCACGCCCCGCCACGCCCCGCCACGCCCTGCCTCGGGGTTGGGGTCGTCGACCTTGGCGTCTGGCCGGTCGGTACGAGTCTCGGTGCGCAGCGCGGCGCAGCGCCGCCATGACGGGCGCGGAGTGTGGAGTCGCGGAGGAATGAATGCCTCCGAAAGCGAGTGAGAATGACACTGCGTCGGGCCGCGTCGCACCGCGCGCCCGCCCGGCCCCGCCCGCTTTGGGAGCACGTTTTCCGTTTTCTAACAGTGCCGTGCACTGCCGTGCCGGGCAGGGACGGGACGCGACGCCGCGGCACCCAGGGGGAGGGAGGGAGGGCTGCGGGCGGCACATGGAGGGACGGAGGGACGCGGGGAAGCAGCGGCGTAGCACCACGCCGCAGAGGAGCCATCGCCGCCAGGGTTCGGTGTCCAAAACCTGCCGAGCCGAGTCGAGTCGAGCCGCGTCGTCATTTTGCTTTTGGTTTGTTTGCAGGCTACCTGCTGACGAGGCAGGAAGGCAAGATGGGCTCGCCCGAGAAGCCCCTCTCGGACCTGGGGCTCATCTCGTACCGCTCGTACTGGAAGGACGTGCTGCTCGAGTACCTGTGCAACTTCGGCGGCAAGGAGCTCATGGTCAAAGGTGAGTCCTTCACGCTCGGCTAAGCCGCTGGCGACTCGTCTCTCTCGCATCGCTTTATGGTCGCCGCCGTCCGCTCAAGGAGCGCGCCGCGACGAAGTGCGTCTGTCCTCGCGGTGCAGCACTGCAGCCGAGTGCAGCGTAGTGCAGCTAGGCCGTGCCGCTACAGTGTGCGCATCCGGCCCGAAATAGCTCGGTGCGGCCAGGGCGGCCAGGGCGGCCAGCACACTGGCAGCACGGCCGGGCAGACTGACGGGGACCCCGAGGCCGGGGGGTCACGTGTGCCTCCCCTTTCCCCCTTCCCCCCGCCGACCAGGGAAAGGGCATAGGCGCCTGGTGCGATTGCTTGCTTGCCGTGTTGCAGACATCAGCCAGGAGATGGCCATCAACCCCAACGACATCGTGAGCACGCTGCAGGCCATGGGCATGATCAAGTACTGGAAGGGCAAGCACATCATCCTCAAGAAGCAGGTGGGTACCCACTGGGTAGGTGGCACACTGTGCTGCGGCCGTGGCGCGGCCGTGGCATGCCCGTCGGACCCGTCGCCCAGTTTTACGATCGGAATGGAATGGAATGGCAGAGTGAAGGAACTAATTTTTATAAATATGTATATGTGTGCGTCTGTAGATGCCTGGCACTCCCCTCTCTCATTAGAGGCTAAAAAATTAATTTGCACCTCGTTAGTCCCTTGTTCTGCTTGTGTAATGCGTGGCTTTGTTTTTGGCCCTGTGTCGTTGTTTTTGTTCGTGTGTAGCTCAAGCTTTGGCCTTACACTTAAAATATCGCTTTGGCAAGTGAACCTAGTCCGGAGTGCGAGTGCCACCTCCCTTTCCCCGCCGTGCCGCCCTGCTTTCCGCGTTTGACTCGTTTTGCCCCCGTGTCGCGCCAAGGCGACGCCAAGGCGACGCACAGTGGGCCAGAAACCGGCGCAGGCGGCCAAAATTCCAGACGCATTTTGAGCTCCAGAAACGCTAAATGGGACTCAAACATGACTCAAACCGAGCTTGTGACCCCACCAATGGATTCCTCGTTCGGAGAGCAATCCATTGGTGGGGTCACACGTTCGATTCGAGTCTCATTTAGCGACTCTGGAGCTCAAAACGTGTCTAGAATTTTGGCCGCCTGCGCCGGTTATACTGGCCCACTGTGCGACGCCAAGGCGACCGCGCGTCCAGCGTCCAGGTGGACCGAGTGGAACGCTTTGCGCGCTGCGCCGAGCTCGACCGAGCTCTGCGCCCCCGGTACGGGAGTGCAGTTATTTGTCCCTGCTTGTTTTTAATTATCGTTTTCCCCCGAGCGCTGCCGCTGCGCTGCCGCCGCCTCTAAATGATGGAAGGCGTCATGCGCCGCAGTTTTTGCCTGCGGCACTGCCTTCTGCTGCGCCAAAGCTTTTGCAGTTTCGCTGCTCTCGCGTCGTTTTTATTTCTCGTTCATTCATGACCGGACAATTTTTTTTTTTCAAAATTTTTTGCCCTTATTTTGCACAGCCTGCTAGCCAGCAGCCCTTTGTCGCCCAACCGGCCGGCCTCCCCTCGCTGCCGATGGCGCACGGGCACTGCCTCGGCACTGCCTCGGCACTGCACCCTACAGTGCACAGACCGCCTCCTCACCGCGCCGCCGCGCCTCTTTTCTGTTTTCTGTTTCGCCAGGACGTGATGACCAACTACCGGGAGAAAAGGAAGCGCCGCAAACCAGAGCCGGCCGAGGTGGTGCTTGACGCGCAGTGCCTGCGGTGGAAGCCCTATGTGGCCACCACCAGCCCCGCCAGCTGACGACCCCCGCGCCCCGCACCCCGCACGCCTCAGTAGGTTCCGTGGCACGCCCCGCCGGCCCGCCCCGCCCCGCCTTTGTCTCAAAGGGGTTCCGTGCTATCCACGTGCGGAACCCCGCCGTCACACAGTGGGCCAGAAGACCGGTGGAGGCGGCCAAAACTCTAGACGCGTTTTGAGCTCCAGAGTCGCTAAGCTGGACTCGAACCGAACGTGTGACCCCACCGATGGATTCCGCGTTCGGAGAGCAATCCATTGGTGGGGTCACACGTTCGGTTCGAGTCCAGCTTAGCGACTCTGGAGCTCAAAACGCGTCTAGAGATTTGGCCGCCTCCACCGGTCTTCTGGCCCACTGTGCGTCACACACGGCCCGGCTGTGCCTGTGCTGTGCCCCGCCTCGGTCCTGCCCGAGGTCCTGTCTCTCCCTCCCATGGACCGAAAAGAGCCGCGAGATTGGACGCTTGTTGTTGTTTGGTTTGTTGTTGTCGTTGTGCCGGCTGCTTGCTTGCGTGATGGCTGTCTGTGTGCTGCTCGCGTAGCTCGCGCCACCGAGTGCCGCTCGTGCTTGCGCCCCCCGCTGCATTGCTGCATTGCACGTGTGTGTGAGTGAGCGAGCGTGTGTGTGCTGCTGTACGAGTACGTAGCAACGCGGCTGTGGAGGCGCGTAGGGCCAGCAGTAAGGGCATAGACAACATAGGGACTATGTTGTCTATGAGTAAGGGCCAGCGGAGCGGAGAGTAACAATATACAGCGCCAGACCGCCCCAGACCCAGAGGGCCGCCCTGCAGGCAGAGCCGGGCCAGCCGGGCAAGTCGCTTAGCGGCGGCCCCGAGGCGTAAGTACTCCACCAACTGCAGCGCGCTGCAGCGTCCCGGTGGCGTCCCCCCCGTGGCGACTGGCTGCGTGGCTGACCGTCTTTCGTCGCTCCGTCTCTCTCGCACCCATGAGTGCGACGGAGACGGGGCGACGACAGCCCCGTTCAGCCTGCCGCGCGACCATGCGGCCGTACATCACGCGTGTGCAGCACATTGCCGGCACCACGGCCGTCACGTGTCACGCGTCTCTACACTAGACACTCCGCCGAGGCCGCCGACGAGGTCGCCGCCGAGGCCGGAGTCAGGCAGGGGGTACACCGCGCCGCTAGAGCCCCGGCCGCAGAGGTTAGAGGTTCATCGCCGGGTGTGCGGTCTGTTTTCTGTTTTCCAGGACGTGATCGAGGACTACCAGGCGCGCTCCAAGCGGCGCAGCCCCGTGTTCAAGGAGCTGGACGCCAAGTGCCTGCGCTGGAAACCGTTCGTGGTGCCGCGGGCGTCGAGCACGCCGGGCGGTGGCGGCGGCGCGGGGCCGGGCTGATCCAGGCTTCCGGGGGCCCCGTCCCACGGGGACCCCCAGGCCGCGGCCAGCGCGGTGCTCGCCAAGCCGCCCGCGTCGCGCGGCAAGGCCGGCAAGGCTGGCAAGGCGCAGCCCCGGCTGAGCCACTACGCCACCTCGGGCTCCGGCGCCGTGCCCTCCAGCTCCGGGGCGGGCACCGGTCAGCGCGCTGGCGGCAGCCACCGCGGCGGCGGCGGGTCCGCGGAGCGCGCAGGTCCGAGCCGCGAGGGCCGCGAGGGCAGAGGCCACCGCTAGGGCAGGTCCGCGCAGTCGCCCTGTCTCAGGTCATCGTGTCGTCCCGAGTGCATGCGCGTCGCGGCGTGCCCGACGCGCTCCCCGACGCGCTCGCGGCGGCAGGATGGCCTGACACGGCGCGAATGTGCGGCGTCCTCGCGCGGGCCCACCCCCGCCCCCGCCCCCGCCCCCGCCATGGCGCCCGTCCTGGCCGCCACCGCCCTGCAGGAGTCCACCGGCGCCGCGGCGCACCTGGTGGTCGACCTCAGGAGAAACCTGGCCATCTGCGCCCGAGCCTGCCTCAACAGGCTGACCGCGCCGTGGTACCTGTGACCATGCTCTGACCACGCTGTGACCAGCCGTGGCCAGCCGTGGCCACGGTTTGACCACGGCCGGCCGTGGCCTGGCCCAAGCCTACCCTCATCTGTGTTGTTGTACGGGTTCTCGCTCTCTGGACAATCATTTTACGTGGGATGAACGTGGACAATTGTGTGTTTTATCGTTAGTTTTAATTTGTTTTTGTACCTGTTGAATTAGCTGCTTTATTTTACTGTATAGTGCAAATAGGTTATAGTTGACGTATCGTGTGCAATGTGCGTGTGTTTTTAATTTTTAATCGCCTTTTTTAAAATTTGTTTTGTACCTTTTGAATGATGTATTTTTAATGAATTCTGTGCCGATACTACCCTTGCCGAATGTTTTGTTTTAATGTTACTTGAAGCTTTCGGCCTTTTCTAGTATTTTGGTTTTTGATAGATCTTTGGAGTCATGAATTTCTGTAATCTAAGTATTAGGATTCTGAGGTGTCAAGTCTTGCACTTATATGTGCTGTGTGCAGAAGGATAAAGAACGCCAATGTCAATACTATACAATGTAATATCGACGAAACAATTACGTAGTGTTAATTTAAGTGTGTAAAGTTAACTCAAAGTTTGTGATACTGTATGTTGTAATTTGAAGATGCCTCTGTGTCCATAAATTTTCTTAGTGAATATATCTTAGCCTCTCTGGCAATAATTGTTTTAATTGAATTTTTTGCATGTCTGCAGGGGACATTGCCCCCGATTTTACCGTTGTTTACATGCGTTATATACAAACGCCAGTGCCAGGTCAAATTTCAGTAATAAGAGCAATTTTCATATCAGGACCACAGCAATACGTATTGTATAAATAAGATAATTAAAATAACCTGCTGGAAAGGTGTAATTGTATGTATCAATTCATGTGATATTGCATATTCTTTTTTTCCAGAATATGATTCTGGTAGAAACGATTGTTATTAATAATACCATGTACTATCAGTCCAATATGTGCTAAGCTTCTTTATGAATTGTATGAGAACTGTTTTGGAATAAATAATATATATATCTTTATACATCTTACAAATCATGTTTTTTTATTGAATCATCCTCCTACTCTTACTCCCCCTCCTCGTCTCCGCCTCTGCCCGCGCGCGCGCGCGCGCACACACACACACACACACACACACACACACACACACACACACACACACACAACAGAGTCACAGCGGGAAATATACCCAGGAAGTGGCACGGGGAACGGCAGCGACAGGCACGTCGCAGCACCGCCCTACACTGCCTACACTCCCCTCCCCGCACCATGAACGGTGGGTGTCGCGGCGTGCTGTATCCATGGTGCCACGGTGCCGTAGTGACGCGACCAGCAGCCATCTCCGCTATGGACGTGGTGCGACGCGGCCGGTGCCGTGTCTCGCACGCTCTGACACCAACCGGTCGCTGCATGGCACGGAGCTGGGAAGCGTTGAGCGCCTGCTGGAAAACTCAGTGCAGTGTGTTATACATTAGAAACATAGCGACGATGGGTACAAGCATGACACTCCAGCTGAAGGCATATAGGCAAAATGTGGGACCTGCAGGCCCCCTCTAAAATTCAATTCTCTGCCTCAAGTTTTATCAATCAGGGCAACGACGTCTGTTCCAATGACTTTTCTCAAATGAGACATCACGTGAGGACATTCGGTAGGTCCCGGCCCTGGCCGAGGCCCTGGCAGAGGCCCTGGCACGCAGCACGTCCACGTGCACATTATCCATGCTGCGGAGGTGCGCTGCCCGTTGGACGCGGCGCGGCACGGCGCAGCCCGCCGGGTGACGCCCGAGTGCTTCCCCGCGTCCCGCGTTCGAATTCCTGCGCCGTCCGACGACCCCGCTGCCTTGCTGCCTTGCTATGCCTTGCCTTGCCTCTCCACTGCCGCTTCGCCGCTTCGAGAGAGGCGGCCGCGGCGCCCAGGAAATCGCGAGAAAGCGCCTGAAGCTTTGGCCGTGGCAGTCGGTTCCTTCGGGTGCCTTCGGGTGCCTTCGGGCTCCTTTGGGTGCCTTCGGGAAGTACGGCAGGGTGGCGACGGCAAAGGGATGACAACAGGAGTTTGGCAAGTCTACGCTGTGCCTCCGGGTGCCTTCGGGCGGGGCGCGATACCAATTAAAATTTGAAGCCAGCGGGGGCGGCGAGGCGCGCGTCGATAGATTAGCCGCGGCGCCGCGCGCACGCTACACGGGACGCGCGGGTCGGTGGCAACGCGTAGCAACGCGGCAACGGTAGGGCGCGGCGGCAGTGGCAGTGCTCTCTGTCTCTCTCGCACTCACGGCGCGTTGTGTGGGAGTGCGAGAGAGACAGCGCGGCGCAAAACTGTGCGGGATCGCTCCGCCTTGCTCCGCCGAGGCTGCCGACTGCTGTGCTGCTGCCGACCGCAAGGGTAACGGCACGTTACGGCGACGTGGCGCTTCTTGCTCCTTCATCGCGGCTCGCCGCGGTTCACTCCAAATTCCCTGCAGACGGATGCCGGCGTCCTTTCCATCGCTGTCTCTCCTCCACCTACACGGGACGCCCCACGAGTGCGAGAGAGACAGTCTGCAGGCGAAGCTGCTCCACTGCATCTCCATCCCGAGGAGCTTGCTGGTGCTGGCGAGACAACTCTGGGCACGGCCCTCAATCAGGACTCGAATCAAACACAGCACCAATGGGCTGCCCTTGAAACGAGGAATCCATTGGTACCATCATACACTTGATTCGAGTCCCGTTTCACGACCGTACAGCTCCAAACTTAAAGTTATGCCTGTAAGTATTAATACAGGCCCACCGTGGGCCAGGCGACTGACTCCGAAGAGTCTTTTCGTTGTTGTATCTCTCACACTGCATGGGCGTTGCGTAGGGGTGCGAGAGAGGCAGAGCGATGAAACGACTCGGCTCTCCGCGGTGCTGGCTCCCGCATGCCACATGGCTCGCTACGCGGGCTGCGCGGCCAGCACGGCGGGGCGTCATCGCAGTGCTCCCGCATGGCAACGCCACGGCACCCCGACACTCCGAACCGGCACTCTTATTACTTCCACAAAGTGCTTATTGAACGAAGTTCCGCTGCTCGCCCTCCCCTTCGCGCCGTCTCTGCCGTCGGGCCGTCTCCGTCGCACGCACGGCGACCGCGGCACGGCGCGGCGCGGCGCGCTCCACTCGCTCCACGCTCCGAGAGACAAACAAGCGGCGTAGTTAGCAGGCTGTGCGTCACGCCAACGCCACGGCCGGCCAGCCCTGCACTGCGAGTCCCTCTGTCTCTCTCGCACGACAACGGAACCCTCCACGAGTACGAGAGGGACAGAGCGGCGTAAAGCCCTGTTCGGAGGCCGCAGTGGCGTCGCTTGGCGTCGCGTGGCGTGGTATGCCGCCACTGACGGCCCTTATTCTGCATAATGGCCCGCTTGGCCTGCTCCGCGACGCTCCACGCACGCGGCGAGCGCGGTCCGACAAAGGGAGGCTCGCGCCGAGCGGCTCCGACCGCAAGCCGCACTGCCACGCACTGCCGCACGGCGACACATGTTTTATTTCCACGGCAATGCTCGAGTATTGACGGAGTGCGGGTAATCCCGCGGGCCACACGGCCAGCCACACGCGCTGCATCGCCTTGTTGTTGATTAAGGATGAACCTCTGATCGATCGGCCGGGCTGGCCAGACTGGCCTCCCTCCGGGTGCCGTCGTGACACGTCGTGACCGTGAGGGTGCCGTGCCATGGCCGTGCCAGCTGGAAGTAAGGCTGGTTCCGAACTCTCGGCTTCGGCGCTCGGTCCGTCGCACTCTGTCGCACTCGCGGGGCACTTGGCGGGCGTGCGAGAGGGACAGCGACGGTGTTGGGCGCGGCGTGTCGCGGACAAGCGCCGTACTGACGACCCCAGGGCGCTGGCTGCGCTGACTGCGCTGGCGGGCCGGGCCGGGCTTGGTTAGAGGGCCGTCACTAAGAGGGCCGGTTAGCACCCCGCCGACGACGAGGGCCAGAACGGCCAGGGCGGCCAGGGCCCCGACGAGGCGAGGCGCGGCGCACCTGAAGTACCTGAACGGTTGCCAGGGTTATTGGGACCGTGACTTGCGGGACGCAGGGACGCACCCCGGCTAGGAACACCGCCTCACCTCGGCCGGGCAGCCCAGGCAGCCCGTCCTCATTCCTGATCAGATCCCGATCGGGCCAGACGCAGCCAGACGCTTGGAGGCTTTCGGTGCTTTCCGTGCCGGCCCGGCCCAGCCCGGCCCGGACCCAGACGTGCTCCAGTTGGCAGCCGAGTGGAGCCGAACGGAAGAGAACCGGGCATAGCTGGGCTGAGCCGGACGAGCCGGGCGGTGCGAGCTACGAGCGCTGAGCCGAAGCGGTTCGAAGCGGGCCGGGCCGCACCGGGGGGAAGCCGATGGCTGCCGATGGCC